GTTTTTTCTTTGGTTTGCGATGATCTGTTCTGTCTTCGTTACCTTAACTCCTCTTGATCCTGCGCCCGAGCATGTACACTCGTTTTGGGCAAGTGAATGAATAAAGAATAAAAGAATGATGAATAATTGAATAAAAACTAATTGAATGAATAATTTAATAAATAATTCAACCGATGAGTTGCTGCGAGGGATGTCTAGGATCTCTCTCCTTTATGTTCCTAATCTCTTCGATGCCCGCTGGGGGAGTGATGTTTCGTGACGGGCCGCTTTGTCTGGGGAATCTGTGCTTCTTAAAAAGTCAAAGTCGATTCCTGGTCTTTGGTGGGGTTCAGCAAATGTTTCCGGCAGAACTTCGCTTCCCCGTTTGGGGAATACAGGGATCGATCCGGAGTTGTGTATGATCTGCGTGGATTAATCGAGCCCAAGATCGAGCTTCCCGTTGTTGAGCTTTACCTTCCCCCCCTCTGGGAACGTGGCTTCTGCTCACCCAAGGCGTTAGCAGGATTCTGCAAAGTCGAGCCTTTCCACTGCAAGGTCTGGTGCTGGTTTGGGCAAGAGGGTGATTGGGCAAGGCTATGCAGCGGGATTCCTGATGAAGGTTAAACCACCTGTGTAGTTTAACTCTATTAGAATAAATCTAAAGTGGAGATAGGGATGGGCGAAACCCGAATCGTTGATGTAATGGGATTGATTGACCTGAAGCTAGTGCTATGTCGAAAATGCTTACTTTGATGATAGCAAGTTGGTGAAGAAAGCGTGTTATTGTGAGAGGTGAGGTTCCAATATTAGTAATTGTTGGTAGCAGGATATTAATCATTGGGGCGAGGTAATGAGTGGTGGGGTTGTAGTGTGTGGGGGCTCGTTGATAAAGGGTTGGGAGAAATGGGGTGGACAAGATGTGGAGATTGGTACGGAGGGTAGAAGAGGAAAGGGTAGAAAGTTGCAGGGGGGGCTCGGTGATGTGTGGGAGGTGCGTAGCTAGTGTTTGGAGGCGATGGATGTTGGGCTCTGGGGTGTTGGATGGAGCACGGGTGGGACTGGTGGGAGAACGCAAGAAGGGGTCGTGAGGTTAGGTTGCGAGGCAGGGTGAGGCGTTGCGATGGGAGGGATCTGGAGGGCGTGTGTGAGCTTGGCGGGGGGGAGGGGAGGGATCTGGATCTCTGAGAGAGTAACCGATTGAGGGTGGGGGCTGGAGGAGTGTAGGTTTCGCGTGGGGTGGGATGGGGATTGTGGTGGTGGTGGTGGGGGGAGTTGGGGAGAGGAGTCGTGGTGGAGACTTATTTCTTGTAGTGGATGGGGCCGATGGGGTTTGGATGGGGGCTGTGGGGAGTTGATAGCGGGATCCGAAGTGTGGAAGTGGGAGTTGAGTGGGTGACGGTGGTGTGGTAGGAAAGTGGGGGGCGGGTGTGTGCTATTCGGACTATATGGGCTGGGGTTGGCGGGTTGGTGTGGGCGGGGATCGAGGTTCCTATCGTGTCGATTTATCCGGACTATTGTTTGTACTTGCGTGACCAATTCTAGAGTCCCATGGTCAGTGTATGTAGTGACGACTGTTTTTGTCTGTGATGTGCAACGTGTCCGTAGTGAGTGATGCGGGTAGTTGATGTAGATTTCTCTACTTTCCCTTTACTGGGCTTCATCCAGTGCTCGTGATGATGACTTAAGTCTCCTTTTGTCGCTTTCTCCCCTGGTACGGATTCGTTGCTCCGCTCTTGTATGCTTGTCCTTGCGCTGCTCCTAACCCTCGAGCTCTGTTTGCTGAATCATAGGTTTGATGTCACAAACTTACCTTTTCTGTCATGCAGCCTCGAGCTCTGTTTGCTGAATCGTAGGTTTGATGTCACAAACTTACCTTTTCTGTCATGCAGAACAGTGCTGACCTTCCTTTGTGTGTGCTGGTACGCCTGCCTGTGCTGACATTTGTTCCTCTCGAGGGGGGTGTTCTCCTTTTCTCTTCTCTCCTGTCCCTTCCTTCTTGTGTTGTGACTCTCTCCTCTGCTTTTCGCCTGTATTCTCCTTTGGGTGTGTCTTCTCCTTTCTCTCCTCCTTCCTCTCCTCCTTCTCCCCTTTTCACTCCCTGTCTCTTTCTTGTGTTAGGGGTGGCTCCGCCCTGAGATGTGTCGTAATGTGCCTATCCCTTGCCCTTGTCTCTTTCTCCCTTTCCCGCCGGGAGTGAAGGGTTCACACGGGGAGGTGTGCGCATGTTACCGCGCTCAGATTGGCAAGCCAAAGTCGAGGGGTGTCTCGAGGGTTGGGGGCCTTGGACACGCGGGCAAGCAGCTGCTCTCTTCCTCTTACCCCGAGCTGACTTTCCTTTCCTTTCTCGGCGTTTTTCTCCTTTCCTTCTTCGGATATACTTGCACGCTTTCCTTCTCCTTTCCCTCACGTCTGTTGTCTTTTTCTTGACTTAGGTCCCCTCCTCTTTCTCCCTTGTTACTCATACTTCTGGTTCATCTGGTTCCATCTGGGTTCGAACTCAGGTCTGCATTTCAACCGTTTATGGGTGTACCAACCCAGCTAAGCCCGTTGGTACAGTGGTCTTATGATACATGCTCAGTCGAGTGATGTATGGGGAGCCAAGGATCCGCAAAGTGATGAAAATGACTTGAATGGACAATTCAGTGTCAGCAAAGCATCAACAAGCAATGTACATCCAGATACATATGAAATAGCACAATGTAGTGCAGCGGAAGACTCAAAGATATGACCTGACCTATCCGAGACTGATGTGACATCCCATCATATACCACAGATGTGAGAGAGGGAGGAGGGACCGCATACATGGAAGAAAGGTCCCTCCTTGCACACGCACATGGGGGAGGTACCACGTATGAATAGATGAGGGAGAGGCGAGACAAAGATGGAGGTGAGGGAGAAGACCAAGATCGCGATAGCGAAGTCCAAAAATAGTCTCCCTGTCGAATGTCCAATCAATGTCTGCCACAAAAATGTTGAATCAGATCCTGGGCCTCATGCCCGATGTAACCTCTGCCTGTAACCTCTCTCTCTCTCTCTCTCTCTCTCTCTTTCTCTCTCTCTCTCTCTCTCTCTCTCTCTCNTCTCTCTCTCTCTCTCTGTGTGTGTGTGTGTGTGTGTGTGAAAGAAGAAGAAGAAGACGGAAGGAGGGAGAAGAGATGGAGGGTGAGACGAAGAAGAAGAAGAAGATGTCGTCCTCCTTGCTGTCTCACCTACAGGTAATTGCCACAATGTACTGACCGCGTGGTGTCCCTGTGCAGGTCGCTGGCGCTAAGCCCAGCTATGGCGCCCAGGTAAGTACCGCCGCTGCAGGTATGGTCTCCGCCTCCCTCGCTCTACCTACACCTCTACCTCTAACGCAGTGCTGTGCCATGCTGCTCCAGCAGCGTGTCGCTCAAGAAGTGAGCTACTCGAACTGTGTGTCTACCCTGGCCTGGCCCAGCTATAAGTAGCACTGGGCCTCGCGGGTGTGGCTCCATGTGCCTCTGGGCCTAGTCCGAAAACATGGCCTACCGGGGCTAATGGGTCTGGGTCGGTCCCGACCGGACGTCCAGACCCTCCCTGCTGATGCAGCAGGGACGTCCGCTACTGGACGAGCACGAACCTGGCCGAAACAGGCCTGCCTGCAAGCGAACAAGGCCCACAGTGTGGCCTTTGTCAGAACAGACCGGAGGTCTGTTTGGACGAACTGCAAGTCCGAAACGACGCCTGAACAGACAAAAATAGTACAGCAAATAAATAAATAAATAAATAAATGCTGCCTCAAATCGAAACCTGAGGCCCTGGGACTCAAGGGCGCGCATCTGAGGTGCTTGCGGCCTAGGGGCCGCCAGCAACCACAGGGCCCCCAAAATGGGGCCCCTGTGCAGGCTCAGCATGTAACATCATATACTTCTGGAACACCCAAACTGATTCTTCTGTCTTCACCCAAATAGAATGCCCGGTCATTACAGGCCAACAGCCTCTCTAGATACGCCAATAATGCCTGAGCGTTCTATCCGGGTGCAGATGGTAGTTGCTCACTTAGATTGTCAATTGTTTAGTCTGCGGGTTTGCTGAGCAGCCACTCCCCAAGTTCCCCCCAACCAATCAGGGTCATACAAAGATCCGTTTGCAATGCCGAACTGGTAAATAGGGCGACGGCCTTGAGATGTCATCATCTAACTGACCAGCTCCATGTAATTCAGAATTTGTGTGTTTTACTCATCTGCTTCCAGTGGAAATCGAACTCAGGTCTGCATTTCAACTGTTCAGGGCTTTACCAACTGAGCGAGGCCAGTCGGTGAACTGATAATAGTCTGTCAGTTAGTAACTTAGTTGTTATAACGACAATGAGTAGCAAGCAAAATCACATGATGCCGACCTGTGTCAACAGCAATGCCTCACTTGGCCGATCAGTTCGAACAATAACAACAGAGCAGAAGTTGCCATGTTCCTGAAGTGACGAAAGTACACGAACATGACATTACGTAACAAACATGCTGTGCAGGCAAAGCACCATAGATTGACATAGAACCAATTGACACAAACAAAGAAAAGAGTGATGGTACTCTTTGACAGGCGAAAGATTCACTGTGAGCAGTTGCAGAACAATCGCAACCACTCGAAAACGAAGAAGCAAAGAACACGGTACCACAGCGTTAATTACCAGCCTCTTTATCTCCCTTCAATACTCTGTGCGGGTTCCCAGCCTCCTACAAGGTCTTCGTTTGTCTTCCGTGACCGGAGGACGACATGATTGGAACAAATGGATAAGGAGACAAGGTTAGCAAATCAGCAAGGATAGACAAACTGAATAAGTTTGCGGGCTGGAAACCAGAGCAGCACAGTGGGAGAAGGAAAGAATCTCAACTTTTGAGGTATGGGTGAGAAGCCATTATGACAAAACAGACAAAGCGGATGATCATGCACTTTGTCCTCCTCCACATTTTCCAATGGTTTCAGATAATAGGATAGCCATGATGCTCCCATATGCATGTGTGTCGAGAGATCTTGGAGGAAGGAAACATTGAAGAGTATCTCACCTGTTCAAGTTTGACTTTTTCTAAAGTCTGACCCTCGTTCAGAGCCAAATTCAATACCTGCAAATCACAAATTTGCAAAGAACAGCCCAGAAAATATAATGTGTCAACACCCTGGCGAATAACATGTAACACTCATTGCCACCTGTTTTCCCAACTGCAACACAGGATCTAAAGAATATAGATGCATGCCCAATCAGGAATCCGACGGAGCGACCACAGTCAAATTCTAGGACTGGAGTGTGGAATACACAACAGCAGAAGATACAAGGTCATGCTCTAGTTCAGCAGAAACAGTCACCAAGTATTCTGGGGGCCATGTGGGTAGAGAACATCGACACACACATCATGTGATAGGAGAAGGAGAACCCTACATGGAAGAGACACTTTCGATTCTTTCCCCTCAACCAGTCATTGACGAGGAAGGGAAGAAGTATAAGGAGGAGGATGAGGAGAACAAGGACATATGACAGTATCGCTTAAAGTNTCAACCAGTCATTGACGAGGAAGGGAAGAAGTATAAGGAGGAGGATGAGGAGAACAAGGACATATGACAGTATCGCTTAAAGTAATCTCTCCCTCCGCTCCCCCCGAATTTGAAGTGTCCTCCACACGATCAGGTCTTCCGATGTCAATATGTGTTGAACTCCTCTCCTCCCGACCCTCTGCTTAAATGACAATATGCGTCGGACTCACTTCCTTTTTTGTTTTTTTCCAATCAATGAGGCCGGAAATTCCTCAACATCTCAACCCGGACAGTGCTGGGGCCATTACCCAGATCTGGAAACTGGGTCCAGCATCCCGTTATCTGCAATTTCAACAAAAATGAAAGCTGGACTAAGAAATGGCAAACAGAAATAAAGGAACAACTAAGCTACTGAAGCCCAAGAAACGAAACCAGACTAATCCTATCCCCTTGACCTTCTGTAGTATTCCCTTTCCCTCTCTTTGAGACCCTGGGATCCCTTGACATTTTGAACCCTAAACCCTACCTCCCGCTGTATCTTTTCCTTTCTTTTTCTTTTGAAACCCTAGGAAGCATTGAACTTGTAAACCCTAAGCCCTACCTCCTGTGGTGTCCTAAACCCTGCCTATCCAAAGCCCCTGTTGCACCCCCTTTAACCCCCTTCCACTCGCACCCTTGTAGCTACCTAACCGTTGGAGAGGTGTAAAGATTAATCGTTGTGTAATGACCTGCCAAAACACGGACTGAGAACACTGCGGATTTCTGAGTTTTGCCACTGGAATGTATGCCTTGCTGAGATTCCCGCGTTCTGCTGAGTTTTCTAAGTCTGTGTGTGTGCATGCGTATTGGTCCGTGTGCCTGTCTGTAGCATATCAGAAAGTGAAATGCACTGAAAGCCTAGGATCTAGCAATGACGAAAGTGGCAACAACCAGCAGCATAGGTGCAACATTCACAAGGTGTCAATGTGCACGATGCAAAGAGTGAAACAACGAGAAATCAACAACAACACATTCGTATCATTATCATCATAGGCTGGGAAGCAGCGCAGCGGAAGATTTAGTATCAAGAGGACACGTGGACAACAACATCAAAGGGAGAAACTTCGGAAGGGCAAGACACTAGAAAGATTGCCCTTCCGCTCACACACATGGGGAGAGATCCATAGACATGCGAGAGAGAAGGGGGAGGGACATAGAGGTAACCAAGTCCAACCCAAGTCTGATCTCCGAATGTCGCACACAGCTCAATCCCAATGTAGAGTGTAAGTCCGATCTGAATGTCATGTCCAATAAGGCAGAAGGCCGTGTCCAAAATAATGTCTGCAGTTACCTCTATCTCTACTCTGATAAAGAAGAAGAAGAAGAAGAAGAAGAAGAAGAAGAAGAAGAAGAAGAAGAAGAAGAAGAAGAAGAAGAAGAACTTCAGAGGAGTAGGAGGAGAAGAGGAGAGGAGAAGAAGAAGAAGAAGAAGAAGAAGAAGAAGAAGAAGAAGAAGAAAGCTAGGCGCTTTCTGCACTTACCTGGCGATGGCTGAGCTTGCAGGTACCGCGGAGCCAGCTATGGCGCTGGTGCAGGTAAGTCCTCTTCTCTCTCTCTCTCTCTCTCTCTCTCTCTCTCTCTAACTCCACTACCCTCCTCGGCGCTGGACTCCTCCAGCGCTGTGCCTCATGGCCGATGAGCAGCGCAGCTGCAGTCTCGAAATAGCGCAGCAGGGAGTCTCCAAAATAGCGCAGCAGTGAAGTTCCTGAACCAGCATAACGCTGGATTTCCCCTGGTACCTTCTGTCACGAACTGGGCAACGGCCCAGCTRARGTAGCGCTGGGCCAGGACTGAAAACCCACGGCCTGCGTTCTGGACCGTGCAGATCGAAACTCCGATCCACKGTCCAGATCGCAGGCTTTSAAACTGGTTCAGTCCTTGGCCTAAAAACGGCCTGCCTGGGTCCCTACCGGACGTCCAGGCCCTGTCCAGGATTGAGTTTCCTGGTACCTGGCTTTGAACCGGTCCTGTGCGGACGTACCCGGCCTCAACGTCGGCCTGGGTCCGAACAGGTAGAAATCTGTTCGAAAACAAAAGAAAAGGTCCAAACGTTTTTAGGAGCTCAGCCTCTGGGCCTGAATCTGGCCCTGGTCCTAAAACGTGTACCTGGCCACAAAACAGACAACAGTACAACCGTTAGAAAAACAGCAGCAAATAAATAAATAAAAGAATATAGAAATAATCTAAAGCTGGCGTTTTTCTGATGCAGGCCCAAGTAAAAATGCCATAGGGCCTTCAGGTTGCGGTGACGCGACCTGGGGGCCCTATTCCAACCTCGGGTCCCGTGAGGGGCCCGTGTGTAGGCTTTCAGCATGTAACAC